CAATCCCAGCCTTCCCTTTGTGGTATGGTTACTTGCAGTACAATTTCAGAGAGATCCATACACTTGAACACAAGTTATTGTCTGGAAACTAGAAAAAAGCTAATTTTTGGTCCCTTTTTGGCCCCTTATTCCTAAACGTTTAGGGCAATTACCCCCAAACTCAAACCCAACTTTCCCTTTGTGATATGGAACCTTGTAGTACAGTTTCATAAAGATCCATACACTTACACACATGTTAATGTCCTGAAACTAGAAAAACGCTTTTTTTTCCCTTTTTGGCCCCTATTTCCTAAAATTTTGAGACAATTACCCCCAAAATCAATCCCAGCCTTTCCTTTGTGGTGTGGTTACTTGCAGTACAATTTCAGAGAGATCCATACACTTGATCACAAGTTATTGTCTGGAAACTAGAAAAAAAAGCTAATTTGTGGTCCCTTTTTGGCCCCTTATTCCTAAACGTTTAGGGCAATTACCCCCAAACTCAAACCCAGCTTTCCCTTTGTGATATGGAACCTTGCAGTACAATTTCAGAAAGATTCATACACTTACATACAAGTTATTGTTATGAAACTAGAAAAATGCTTGTTTTTTGCCCCTTATTTGGCCCCTTATTCCTAAAATTTTGAGGCAATTACCCCCAAAATCAATCCCAGCATTCCCTCTGTGATATGGAACTTTGTAGTACAATGTCAGTGAGATCCATACACTAACACACAAGTTATTGTCTGGAAGTTACAATAAAAATGCTTATTTTTTGCCCCTTTATTCCTTAACTGTTGGTTCCATAACCCCCAAAATTAATCCCAACCTTTCTTTTGTGGTATTGAACCTTATGGTAAAATTTCATAGAGATCCATTCCCTTAAACTAAAGTTATTGTGCGAAAACCAATGTGTCTTCGGACGACGACGACGCCGGACGAGGACAAGGAAGACGACGACGCAAACGTCATACCAATATACGACCGTAGAAAAAATTTTGCGGTCGTATAAAAACGTAACAGATTTCTAAGATATGATTGTTAATGTTAAAATTGCAGTTTCTTTATAAAAGAAAAAATTCTCATTGCACAATTATTAGGTATCAGGTCGTTGCGATCCCAAACCGATCCGGCCCCAAGTCGATCCGGCCCACGTCGATTCGGCCCCATAATAAAATAATGAATAATTTATATTAACTTCGGAGGATAATGTGACATATTTGAATCAGGATAAATGGTTCTTTTCCTTCTAGCTTCATGGTTGCTAAAAGCGCTTTCAAATCATTTGGTAATTCCATAATGAGTGTTCACAAGGTTGACTGTTCAAAATACAGCTCACACTAATATGAATAAAAAATGAAAAGAAAAACCATCCTGTCTCCTATTTTATTGGAATGATTAGGCAAATCAAACAACATTTCTCAATTTGAGAAGTTTTTATATCTTTAAACAAAGACTAAGTTTGTATGCATCATCTTGGGGATCAGCTTGTTCAGTTTTGTATGTAACGATTTGTTATTTTATTAAATCAGTTGAAAGACTTGTTAAAATCACAGTCAATTGAAAAAATGCGAATTACTGCTGATTAATGTTAATGGTACTAAATTCTGTTATATATGTTTTATTATAATTATGCATACCCAATAGACTTGAAAACTTGTAATATAAAAACATAATCAACATAATTGTTTTATACTGCTTTCTTATCCGTATTCATTTAAGGTGATAAATTGATTTGAATTCAAATATTATATATAAAAATAATACTATATTTCTATATGAAATCTTAATATAAATTAAAAAAATATTCAAATAAATGTCTCATCTTAAGTAAATTTAATATTCAAATATTCGTCAAAGGCCAACTTTTTTATCGTCAACCTTTTATATTAACATAAAATTCATAAACATTTATGAATGACACTGAACTCATATATATCTTTATTTTTATTCCTTATAAATATTTTTATATTGGGGACGGATCGACTTTAAATATGGGACCGGATCGACTTGGGTCGGATCAACTTAATAATTGGGACGGAACGACTTGGGACGGATCGACTTGGGGCCGGATCGACATGAAAGCAAGTATTATTATAATATGAAGGTTTTAAAGATAAATATCATTATCACAGCCATTTACCAGTTTACTATGACTAATTCAATAAAATCTCTGTTCCCCCTTAACATTTTTTCCCATTGGTTAAGCAGATTTTTTTCTTCTAATATCGAGGTATGTCCAATACACAATGTAGTTTCAATATCGACGACATCAACGATTTTCGTATCGATATCAGTATATATGCACCTTTACTATATGTGTCACGGTAATTGCAATATCAGCCGTCGATATCGATTCGATGTTGTCAGTTAAATTTTATACCTGGCAGATTTCTTCTATTTAAGTTGTTAAAATTGTAGAAATCGAGATCTCGGAGTCATTGAATCGAGACCACTGATGAGTCATTGAATCGAGACCACTCATGAAACATTGAATCGAGACCACTGTTGGGTCATTGAATCGAGACCATTGATGGGTCATTGAATTGAGACCACTATTGGGTCATGAATCAAAAATTCTGATGGGTCATTGAATCGAGACCACTGATAGGTCATTGAAGCGAGACCACTGATGGGGCATTGAAGCGAGAGCCACTGATGGGTCATTGAAGCGAGACCACTGATGAGTCATTGAATCGTGAGCCACTGATGGGTCATTGAGTCGAAAGCAACTGATGGGTCATTGAATCGAGAGCCACTGATGGGTCATTGAGTCGAGACCACTGATGAGTCATTGAAGCCAGAGCCACTGATAGGCCATTGAATCGAGAGCCACTGATGGGTCATTGAATCGAGAGCCACTGATGAATCATTGAAGCGAGACCACTGATGAGTCATTGAATCGAGAGCCACTGATGAGTCATTGAAGCGAGAGCCACTGATAGGTCATTGAATTGAGAGCCATTGATGGGTCATTGAGTCGAGAACACTGATGGGTCATTGAGTCGAGAGCTACTGATGGGTCATTGAATCGAGAGCCACTGATAGGTCAGTGAATCGAGAGCCACTGATGAGTCATTGAAGCGAGACCACTGATGAGTCATTGAATCGAGAGCCACTGATGAGTCATTGAATCGAGAGCCACTGATGAGTCATTGAATCGAGACCACTGTTGGGTCATTGAATCGAGAGCCACTGATGAGTCATTGCATCGAGAGCCACTGATGAGTCATTGAATCGAGAGCCACTGTTGAGTCATATAATGACAACTGCATGTTTGGCGTCAAAAATTAAAAGACTGGTATCTTAATTTGATGAAACTTAAAGGTGCACTAGCTACGAGATATATAAAAAATATAAATTTGATTTTTTTTGTTCAATCATTAATGAAAGTGAAATAATGATATAATTATTCACTTTCAGCAGCCAGTATGGGTCAATTCTGTCAGAATAAGCTAAAAAACATTCATGATGAATTATTCACTTGCAAGTGAATAGTTCGACCTCATTGAATCCGTATTGATGTGAACTTCAATTTAACCCCTTAGCTAGAGATGGATAACACAGTTCTTGTGTGTGTAAAGTTATTTAAAGGAAAAGAATGTCAACATTGAAAGTGAAACAAAGGTAAATCATTTGATTGACTGATTCGATCCACAAAAAATCATTCTTATATAGGTAAAAACGATGAAAAACATATATTTTTAATCTATAATATGTAATTAAACAGACCTAGAAAAATCCAATTCCACAAGTTCGCTTAATCTATTTGTATCTATATTTATGTTTATATCGCTTATATGGTCATCGGAGGTCAACTCGATAGTTAATTAGATGGCGTCTAGACTAAAATACACACAAAACGAAGCTACATATTATCGAGCCCATGCCCTGTAAATTGTTTATTTTAGACTTTTAATAGTTTGGATAAATGTTTTACATTGTTATAAATCAAATATGAGAATTTGAGTCAAATCGGTGAACTTGAATTTGACAGCTAGTGCCCCGTTAAGAAAAGAAAGTCAAATAGCATGTTTTCCATGCTATTCTTTCACTGGTATAGTCGATCAGTTTTAATGGACCCTTTTTTTCTTTAAGAATCTTTCATTGTAGGAAGGTTTCTACACTGTGGATTAGAGCTGAAGTACATACATTTACATCTATGCTATGCAGAAATTTTTGTTCAAAAATTATTGTTTAAAAGTAAAGATTTTTTTCTGGCATTAGTTTTAATTGCTTGGAAAGTATCAGAATTCAGGATTTCGCATAAAATCTCTTAGATCTTCTAGGGGTCATCCCCTGCCTTAGATCTTCTATGGGCCATTCCCTGCCTTAGATCTTTCATAGGCCATCCCCTGCCTTCGATCTTCTATGGGTCATCCCCTGCCTTAAATCTTCTAGGCACCATCCACTGCCTTAAATCCTTTCTGATTTGACCTGAAGGTCCTTCAATATTTTATTTACACTTAATCTTTAGCTAGCTTGGGGTAAGAAATGTATACATAATCACATTTAACTTTGCTGTTTAACCTGAGGAAGTATATGTAAAAATACAAATAAATATTGCCTTTGTCTTTGCCGATCATTCTGCTCAACTCTAACAAACAATACAAAACATAATAAACAATGACTTCAGTGGATCAACTACTGCTTATGAAAAATATCAATGTATAAAAACTACAAGTATATTAATATAAATCAATCATCATAAAATAAAATCTATAACTGTAAACATTAAAACATGTATAAATGATTTAACATTTAACATTATATCTCCTATAGAACATCTACTTTGGATGCTGTGATTGTCTAAAACATAGAGAATAGATAATACTTGGAAAACTTAACAACGAAAAGTCTGGAGAGCCTGTTTTCCACCTTCCAATTGTCTGTTGTAGTAATTGTCAAAACACAGAAAAAACAAGGTATCATTGACATCTCTGAACACAGCTAACAGTTGTTTCAAAAAAGCTGGAAAATTGTATTTGATCATATATACTCTTTTTAATTTCCTGGCAGTCTTATGTAGTCTCTTCTGATTTTTCACAATACTGTAAAAAAGAAATAACATAATGAGAATTTGGTGTTCATAGATTTAGTAGATATTTGATGCAAGTTTACCACTGTAAATTCAGAAATTATTGCGTGCATTTATTATTGTGATTTTTAAAACATGAATAAAAATGCGAGATTAATTATTGCGATTTCAGGGAAATCTGCATACAGCTATAAGTATCAGATATCAAAATGCGAGTTCTTTTATTGCGATATTTACCCAGTCGTATTATTAGCCTTAATAAAAACCTCGCAATAATTTCTGAAATCTCAGTATTGAATATATTCACAATTTTTTTTTTTTACTTGGGACAAATTAGAGCTTAACACATTGTAAAGAAATCTATTTGTTTAAGGGGCCTTGATGGCCCAGTAGTCTAAGTGGTTCTTATACTACATCACAAATCTATCAACACTGAGGTTGCGAGTTCAGCACGTGGTAGGTGCCTTTGACTCCAATCTTAATTGACTAGGATTGTTAGTTTTCCTCCTGGCACTCTGGCTTCCTCCATCAATAAAGACTGACCACCACTGTATAACCAATGATGCTGAAAATGGTGTTAAACACACACAATCAATCAATCTGTTATTGAAGACTATATGTTGCCCTGTAAAGACTATATGTTACCCTGTAAAGACTATATGTTGCCCTGTAAAGACTACATGTTGCCCTGGTAAGACTATATGTTGCCCTGTAAAGACTATATGTTACCCTGTAAAGACTATATGTTACCCTGTAAAGACTATATGTTACCCTGTAAAGACTATATGTTGCCCTGTAGATGCCATTCGATTAGTTTGGATTGCTCTCTTTTTTCATAATTACTTTATTTTAATTTCTCCTTCTTATTCTGAATTTGGATGACTTAGACATGCATTACTAGTACATTATTACTATTACTGGTAGCTTTAAGTGGACTATGCCATCGGTGTCCAAACTGTTCACAGGGGTTTTTAACTTGAAAAAAAAAAACATAAGGGAGACACAAATAGTTTGCCCTTGATTTACTATGATAGCTTAATTTGTTTTATTTTAATATGCTTGCTAAGACTCAAATGAAAATCTAAAATTGAGCTTACTTCAATGAAGAAATATTGTAACCCACTTTCAACAGAAGGAGAATTTGTATTATAACAGCAATAGGTTGTTTATGGTATATTCATAGTCTTTTTGTCGAGCCTTCGACTTGAGTCGGAAAAACCGAGACATAGCGATCCTACATTCCGTCGGCGTCGTCGGCGGCGTCCACAAATATTCACTCTGTGGTTAAAGTTTTTGAAATTTTAATAACTTTCTTAAACTATCCTGGATTTCTACCAAACTTGGACAGAAGCTTGTTTATGATCATAAGATAGTATCCAGAAGTAAATTTTGTAAAAATAAAATTCCATTTTTTCCGTATTTTACTTATAAATGGACTTAGTTTTTCTGCCGGTAAATATTACATTCACTCTGTGGTTAAAGTTTTTAAAATTTTAATAACTTTCTTAAACTGTCCTGAGTTTGTACCAAACTTGGACAGAAGCTTGTTTATGATCATAAGATAGTATCCAGAAGTAAATTTTGTAAAAAATAAATCCATTTTTTCTTTATTTTACTTTTAAATGGACTTAGATTTTCTGCCAGGAAACAACACATTCACTCTGTGGTTAAAGTTTTTAAAATTTTAATAACTTTCTTATACTATTTTGGATTTGTATCAAACTTGGACAGAAGCTTGTTTATGATCAAAAGCTAGTATCTTGAAGGAAATTTTGTTTTCTTCCAGTTAACATTACATTCAGCATGTTCAGTCTGCAGTTAAAGTTTTTAAACATTTATTAGCTTGATAAACTATCCTGGATTTTTACCAAACTTGGACAGAAGCTTATTACAATCAAAAGATAGTATCAAGAGGAATATTTTTATTGATTTACTTCCTCATTTTTGTTGAGCCTGTGATTAACAGAAAAAGTAGGCGAGACACTGGGTTCCGCGGAACCCTTACAAATTTTTTGGTTTTGTTAGCTCCTCATTTTTATAATAAGTTTTTGATTTTCAAGTTTTTTAGCCTGGATCATGCTGAATCCTTTCTCGTTGAAATGCCTATCTTTTGCAGTAAAATTGGTACTGTTAATTTTTGTACTATTCAGACTATTATTTTGTTGCCATGCTTCCAACATCTGTAAAATAGAAAATTTGTTATTAGATATAAATACAATGATACAGGACAAGATTTCTAATCTTGTCTAAAAAAAGATGAAAGGTCATTGCTGTTAAATGGAAAAAGGGAGATGACCAGCTATTTGGGAAAATCTTTAAATCACATTTCATCCTCATTGGTCCATCAAACTATAATAATTGACAGAGGATAAAATGACTGATGACTATTTAATATCCAGTGGCAAGTATTACAAGCATATTCAGGATAATAACATGTTAATGAAAAGCGCTTCCGAGGCAGGAAATTTATAACGTGTTGTTTTCATTTTTTTAATGTCTTCCAGTTAACTATCTATAGAGAACTATAAACTATCTGTAAAATATTAAACATGTTACTATCCATTTTAATCAGTAACAGTCCAATTTCCTGCTCTATATCTCAGTTGACCCACTCTACAGGATCTACTTCACCTATATCTCAGTTGACCCACTCTACAGGATCTACTTGGTCTATTTCTCAGTTGACACTCTCTAAAGGACATACTTCGTCTATATCTCAGTTGACCTACCAATTTAGATTTATTACCGGGTTTGTACTAACATGAGCAACACGACGGATGCCAAATGTGGATCAGGATCTGCTTACCCTTCCGGAGCACCTGAGATCACCCCCAGTTTTTGATGGGGTTCATGTTGCTCAGTCTTTAGTTTTCTATGTTGTGTTTTGTGTACTATTGTTTGTCTGTTTGTCTTTTTCTTTTTTTAACCATGGCATTGGCAGTTTACTTTCGACTTATGAGTTTGAATGTCCCTTTGGTATCTTTCGCCTCTCTTTTTTTGACCCTCGCCGCGATATGGCCTTTTTGTGCTGATGCGGCGTTAAGCAATCACCCATCAATCAATCTTTTTTGACCCACTCTAAAGGACATACTTGGTCTATATCTCAGCTGACCCGCCCTAAAGGACATACTTTGTCTATATCTAAGTTGACCCAATCTCAGGGACCTAATTTGTCTATATCTCAATTGACTCACTCTGAAGGACATACTTCGTCTCATCTTAATTGACCTACTTTGAAGGACCTACCATATAGCGGGTTATTTTCGCGGGGTGTTTATTTTCGCTTATTTTGGCGGGTCAGGAGAAATCGCAAAAATATATTCCGCGAAAATTTGTGCATACGTTCGATACTTTCTAGGTTAAAGCGTTTTGTAAACTATCTATTTTTTTCCCATTCGACGGATCAATCACGGTTCTTGTTAATTTGAACAACATAAATGCCAAAGGCCATTGTTCACTGGCTTTCAGGTATTAATTAGTTTATTGATTACATAAAATAAATAATGATATAAAAGTATTTTATCCTTATTAATTAGTGTCAAATTATATAAGAGTTGCAAGTCACTCATGATAAATTTATAATCTAATTAGTACATCAAAGGTCTGGTCAACCGTAATATTTACAAGAAGTTTGTACACCTGTGAAAAATAACTATGTACTTGTATTCTTTTGATTAACTGTATCAAAATATAATCAATAAATAAGACGTCATGCAGGAAAAACAATCATTTAACCATAACAATAGACCCTTGTTTGTCAATTTTTACAACTTTTTAAGTAGAACCATTTCAGTATCCGCCAAAATATTCAATTGGGATTAAAGAATCCGCTAAAATAAAAACTGCCAAAATTTTTCGTATACTTTGTTGCCCTTCAATCGTGAAATTTTACACCCGCGAAAATAACCTGCTATACGGTACTTCATCTATATCTCAGTTGACCCACTCTAAAGGACCTACTTCGTCTATATCTCAGTTTACCCACTCTGAAGGACCTACTTTGTCTATATCTCAGTTGATCCACTCTGAAGGACCTACTTCTTTGATTTAGTGTCATGTTATATTATTCTGAATTTTCATAACATCAATTTTTTAAGAAATATATATAAACTTGTTTGGAGAAAATACTGTTTTTAACCAATTTTTACCAATAAAATTGAGAATGGAAATGGGAAATGTGTCAAAGAGACAACAACCCGACCAAAGAGCATAAAACAGCCGAAGGCCACCAATGGGTCTTCAACACAGCGAGAAAATCCCGCACCAGGAGGCGTGCTTCAGCTGGCCCCTAAAAAAAATGTGTACTAGTTCAGTGAAAATGGACGTCATACTAAACTCCAAAACATATAAATGAACTAAAATTAAAAATCATACAAGACGTACAAAGGCCAGAGGCTCCTGACTTGTGACAGGTGCAAAAATGTGGCGGGGTCAAACATGTTTTGTGAGATCTCAACCCTCCCCCTTTTACCTCTAGCCAATGTAGAAACAAGAATGTGTCCATGGTACACGGATGCCACACTTGCACTATCATTTTCTATGTTCAGTGGACCGTGGAATTGGGGTCAAAACTCTTATTTTAACATTAAAATTAGAAAGATGATATCATAGGAAACATGTGTACTAAGTTTCAAGTTGATTGGACTTCAGCTTCATCAAAAACTACCTTGACCAAAAACTTTAACCTGAAGCGGGACGGACAGACGAACAGACGGACGGAAGGACGGACGGACGAATGGACGGACGGACGGACTCACAGACCGAAAAAAACATAATGCCCCTAGGGGGGGGGCATAAAAACAAACACACAGCAATACGCACAGTAAAACTCCATTAAAAAGAAGTCAGAGTCCAATGTCAGAATAGATAACAAAAGAAACTTAGAAAAATGACAATGATACATAAATTAACAAAGGACTACTAGCAGTTACTGACATGCCATCTCCAGACCTCAATTAAACTAATTGAAAGATTATGACTGTATCATATGAAAATCAAGCACAATCCCTCCAGTAAGGGGTTTAGTATCATACCATCATAGAATATATGAGAACATAACCTGTATTATGCCAACAACTGGTTTTAGAATACATGTGTTTATTTCCGATGCAAAGACCCTATGAGTGAATCAAAATTAATACCAAAATATGCCATCTTTAATGACCTGAAAAATACCATATTTAAATGTACATCTTTTAAAAGAAAATTCCTTTCATAATATTTCTTAAAATAGTAAAATACATCATTTTTCAGTTTTTAGCTGGTTTAAAATGCCAATTGTAAACAGTATGTGGAACCGCTCCCATCTACTGAACTCCCTTTTGAGATTTTGTTTCTTAAAAAATTTATAGGTGTCTTTGACTTTCCAAAGGTTTCGCTCTAAGGACTAAAGGACAAACAATTATACATTTGATTTTTCTAAATCCATCAATTTGAAACTATAATAACTGGAAGAGGATTACTATTGACTGATGGGTGCTTAATATCCAGTGGCAAATATTTCATGCATATTCAGGAACACAATTTCAATGTCCTTATTTCCACTAGAGATCTTGTAGATGTCTGACTTACATTATAAGAACATTTACATGTGCATATGTAAAATCAGTCATGAAGTATAAATTACAAACCTGGAAAGCACATCTGTCAAATGGCATGTTACCAACAGCAGTTCCAAGACCTGGGCATAGGACACTTCTGATTGGTTGATTTTCTGGGTCTCTGTTGTGTTTCTGAACTGCAATTACAAACAAGCCAACTTTTAACAAGAAGTTGCAAGCAATGTTATGCAATGTTTACACACAGACACTGAGGAAAAATGCCATGCTCAAAGAGTACTGTGGATTCATTTATTTTCGTGGGTACCAATTTTTGTGGATTAAGGAAAACTTGCACTTTCGTGGATATTTGATTTCGTGGTTTTCCAAAAGTCTGCATATATTCATAAAGCAAATTTGTAATTCGTTGAATAATTTAATTCTTGGTTTCGCTGTACTCACGAAATCCACGAAAATTGGTATCCAACGAATAATAATGAATCCACAGTACATGAATCATAAAAATTAAAAAGTGTCATCAAACAGGAAGTGTCTTTCTATGAGGTATGAAAATTGTTTCCACTTTACAAATTAAAATAAAAGAACATCTAGTGAGCACGCTTACACACCACATGCCTCCATATAAAGGGAAACCCCTTTTGGTGACCTGATGGCAAACTTTATTCTGTTTACTTTAAGGAATGATTCTTTTCTGTTCTGATTTTAGACAGTAAAATTGTGCAACTCTATGATTAGTTAGTATGACCTTGACCTTAGATATAGTGACCTCAAAATCACTACTAGTATTCCTCCCATTATACGTGACCATATATATCCAAGTAAGATTTCAATCCCATATGAAGTGTTTGATTTAATTTAAGGGAAGGTGTTTGGTACCACCTTAAGAGAAGCAATCTTTCTGACTGGTACTTGTATGTTTTAATGAAAAACAGGTATTATTAAAGCATACCAGCTAAGATTATAGCTCTAAATGCCAGGAAAGCATTAGCTGTATCATTCACATCTTTTGGAACTCTCATTGTTGGAGCAGAAATTAGAAATTTTATTGGCCTTCCACCACATAAATTGAATTTCTTCATATTTTCAATTTTTTCTTCATTCGGCTCTTCACTATAAGCTGGGATTATAATGGCATTTCCCTATAAGTAACAAAAATTAGTATAAGATACATAAAGTAACAGATGGATGGAGATGACCTTTAATGAAGGACAGATGTCAATTTCTAAATAACAACAATTATTATTTTATAGCTCAAATTGGCCCAAGTAAACAAAGTGTGCTAAAAACTTGCTTAAATAAACCACATGCTTATGAGCCTTTTGCCTATCAGGAATCCAATCAGAAACTGTTTGATTCTTTATCTTTTTAGAGCCTATAAAAGGTACGTGCACCTCTTTAAGATAGTATGACTTAAACCTTTTAGAGTCTATAAAAGGTACAGGCACCTCTTTAAGATAGTATGATTTAAATCTTTGAAAGCCGATAAAAGGTACAGGCATCTCTTTAAGATAGTATAACTAAAACCGTTTAGAACCTTTAAAAGGTACTGAAACATCTAAAAGACAGTATGACTTAAATCGTTTAGAGCCTATAAAAGGTATGAGCACCTCCTTAAGATAGTATGACTTAATAAAATTGAGAATGGAAATGGGGAATGTGTCAAAGAGACAACAACCCGACCATAGAACAGACAACAGCAGAAGGTCACCAACAGGTCTTCAATGCAGCGAGAAATTCCCGCACCCGGAGGCGTCCTTCAGCTGGCCCCTAAACAAATATATATACTAGTTCAGTGATAATGAACGCCATACTAAACTCCAAATTGTACACAAGAAACTAAAAATAAAAATAATACAAGACTAACAAAGGCTAGAGGCTCTTGACTTGGGACAGGCGCAAAAATGCGGCGGGGTTAAACATGTTTATGAGATCTCAACCCTCCCCCTATACCTCTAGCCAATGTAGAAAAGTAAACGTATAACAATACGCACATTAAAATTCAGTTCAAGAGAAGTCCGAGTCTGATGTCAGAAGATGTAACCAAAGAAAATTAACAAAATGACAATAATACATAAATAACAACAGACTACTAGCAGTTAACTGACATGCCAGCTCCAGACTTCAATTAAACTGATTGAAAGATTATGTCTTCATCATATGAATATCAGGCACAATCCTTCCCGTTAGGGGTTTAGTATCATACCATCATAACATATATGAGAAGAACATAACCCGTGTCATGCCAACAACTGGTTTTTAAATAAATGTGTTTAGTGCCGATGCAAAGACCCTATAAGTGAATCAATATTAACGCCAAAATATGCAATCTTTAATGACCTGACAACAGTATCGTAACTATATCCCTTCTTAATAAGTCTATTTAAAGGTTTTGTTAGCTTCAGAGGTGAATACTAACATTTTTGTGCTTTATAAAGAATATTTCCATAAAAAATTGGATGTGAAATACCTGAACGTATAAGAAGTCTGCATGTTGAGCTATATTTACGAATGATGTCCTTATACCGATGATAAAATTTAGTAAATGTTTTGACTAGTTTGTGATATCGAATTAGAGCCTATAAAAGGTATGAGCACCTCCTTAAGATAGTATAACTTAAATTTTTAGAGCCTATAAAAGGTACAGGCACTTCTTTCGGATAGTATGTTGACCTCAAAGGTATCTTTTCAAGTTTTTTTGTGTTGTTCAGTTTGTTCTCATTGATATATATTCCTACATCCCATAATCTCATTTACTCCCATGCCAACATATTGTTAAAACTTACAAATGATGATCGGACTTCACATATAAATATATATTTTTTATATATTATTAGTCAATATTAGTACCTACTACAACATTTTCACCATTATAGTCCTCTCGTATATTACAAGTCAATATTAGTACCTACTACAACATTTTCACCATTATAGTCCTCTCGTATATTACAAGTCAATATTAGTACCTACTACAACATTTTCACCATTATAGTCCTCTCGTATATTACAAGTCAATATTAGTACCTACTACAACATTTTCACCATTATAGTCCTCTCGTATATTACAAGTCAATATTAATACCTACTACAACATTTTCACCATTATAGTCCTCTCGTATATTACAAGTCAATATTAGTACCTACTACAACATTTTCACCATTATAGTCCTCTCGTATATTACAAGTCAATATTAGTACCTACTACAACATTTTCACCATTATAGTCCTCTCGTATATTACAAGTCAATATTAGTACCTACTACAACATTTTCACCATTATAGTCCTCTCGTATATTACAAGTCAATATTAGTACCTACTACAACATTTTCACCATTATAGTCCCCTCGTATATTACAAGTCAATATTAATACCTACTACAACATTTTCACCATTATAGTCCCCTCGTATATTACAAGTCAATATTAATACCTACTACAACATTTTCACCATTATAGTCCCCTCGTATATTACAAGTCAATATTAATACCTACTACAACATTTTCACCATTATAGTCCTCTCGTATATTACAAGTCAATATTAGTACCTACTACAACATTTTCACCATTATAGTCCTCTCGTATATTACAAGTCAATATTAGTACCTACTACAACATTTTCACCATTATAGTCCTCTGGTATATTACAAGTCAATATTAGTACCTACTACAACATTTTCACCATTATAGTCCTCTGGTATATTACAAGTCAATATTAGTACCTACTACAACATTTTCACCATTATAGTCCTCTGGTATATTACAAGTCAATATTAGTACCTACTACAACATTTTCACCATTATAGTCCTCTGGTATATTACAAGTCAATATTAGTACCTACTACAACATTTTCACCATTATAGTCCCCTCGTATATTACAAGTCAATATTAGTACCTACTACAACATTTTCACCATTATAGTCCTCTGGTATATTACAAGTCAATATTAGTACCTACTACAACATTTTCACCATTATAGTCCTCTGGTATATTACAAGTCAATATTAGTACCTACTACAACATTTTCACCATTATAGTCCTCTGGTATATTACAAGTCAATATTAGTACCTACTACAACATTTTCACAATTATAGTCCTCTGGTATATTACAAGTCAATATTAGTTCCTACTACAACATTTTCACCATTATAGTCCTCTCGTATATTACAAGTCAATATTAATACCTACTACAACATTTTCACCATTATAGTCCTCTCGTCCTCTCGTATATTACAAGTCAATATTAGTACCTACTACAACATTTTCACCATTATAGTCCCCTCGTATATTACAAGTCAATATTAGTACCTACTACAACATTTTCACCATTATAGTCCTCTCGTATATTACAAGTCAATATTAGTACCTACTACAACATTTTCACCATTATAGTCCTCTCGTATAATTATAGTCCTCTCGTATATTACAAGTCAATATTAGTACCTACTACAACATTTTCACCATCCCCTCGTATATTACAAGTCAATATTAGTACCTACTACAACATTTTCACCATTATAGTCCCCTCGTATATTACAAGTCAATATTAGTACCTACTACAACATTTTCACCATTATAGTCCTTTCGTATATTACAAGTCAATATTAATACCTACTACAACATTTTCACCATTATAGTCCCCTCGTATATTACAAGTCAATATTAGTACCTACTACAACATTTTCACCATTATAGTCCTCTCGTATATTACAAGTCAATATTAGTACCTACTACAACATTTTCACCATTATAGTCCTCTCGTATATTACAAGTCAATATTAGTACCTACTACAACATTTTCACCATTATAGTCCTCTCGTATATTACAAGTCAATATTAATACCTACTACAACATTTTCACCATTATAGTCCCCTCGTATATTACAAGTCAATATTAGTACCTACTACAACATTTTCACCATTATAGTCCCCTCGTATATTACAAGTCAATATTAGTACCTACTACAACATTTTCACCATTATAGTCCTCTCGTATATTACAAGTCAATATTAGTACCTACTACAACATTTTCACCATTATAGTCCCCTCGTATATTACAAGTCAATATTAGTACCTACTACAACATTTTCACCATTATAGTCCCCTCGTATATTACAAGTCAATATTAGTACCTACTACAACATTTTCACCATTATAGTCCTCTCGTATATTACAAGTCAATATTAGTACCTACTACAACATTTTCACCATTATAGTCCTCTGGTATATTACAAGTCAATATTAGTACCTACTACAACATTTTCACCATTATAGTCCTCTGGTATATTACAAGTCAATATTAGTACCTACTACAACATTTTCACCATTATAGTCCTCTGGTATATTACAAGTCAATATTAGTACCTACTACAACATTTTCACCATTATAGTCCCCTCGTATATTACAAGTCAATATTAGTACCTACTACAACATTTTCACCATTATAGTCCCCTCGTATATTACAAGTCAATATTAATACCTACTACAACATTTTCACCATTATAGTCCCCTCGTATATTACAAGTCAATATTAATACCTACTACAACATTTTCACCATTATAGTCCCCTCGTATATTACAAGTCAATATTAATACCTACTACAACATTTTCACCATTATAGTCCTCTCGTATATTACAAGTCAATATTAGTACCTACTACAACATTTTCACCATTATAGTCCTCTCGTATATTACAAGTCAATATTAGTACCTACTACAACATTTTCACCATTATAGTCCTCTCGTATATTACAAGTCAATATTAGTACCTACTACAACATTTTCACCATTATAGTCCTCTCGTATATTACAAGTCAATATTAGTACCTACTACAACATTTTCACCATTAAAGTCCTCTCGTATATTACAAGTCAATATTAGTACCTACTACAACATTTTCACCATTATAGTCCTCTCGTATATTACAAGTCAATATTAGTACCTACTACAACATTTTCACCATTATAGTCCTCTCGTCCTCTCGTATATTACAAGTCAATATTAGTACCTACTACAACATTTTCACCATTATAGTCCCCTCGTATATTACAAGTCAATATTAGTACCTACAACATTTTCACCATTATAGTCCTCTCGTATATTACAAGTCAATATTAGTACCTACTACAACATTTTCAC